ACGGGCTTGGGTTCCCCCCACCCCCCCCACCCCCCACCATCAAAGAGTTAATCAGCCCAAACAGCCCACTGGTGCTCCTTTCCAATTAATCAGTTTCACCGGATCTTTTCTGGGGACTATTCTTAAATGGCTAATGTGGACCTGAAGTCAAACAGTGGCCAAACAGGTAAAAAACAATATGGCATAAGGAACATTCTTTAGGTGAGGAGGTGAATCCATACCAAACTGCCTCCTGATTCCCAAGCACACTGGAGACCAGCTGGGGAAGGGAGCGGACACCCGCATGAGGCACCAAGTCTCCAGACTTTGAGTTTTGTCTCAGCTCACCTGTGATAGGTCATGCTGTACTCTGACAAATTTACAGTAAAACCTCGGACAAATTTACAGTAAAAACAATCTTAATGCACCCAAACTGCCTCTCAGCCAGGAGCCAAAGTGTGCTAACATATGGCACACCCACACTGCCTCGGCAGAGACCTAACCTCACGCCAGGGATCAAGGTGTTCCACAAGTCTGAACTCAAAAAAAGAGACGGCATGCACAATAAAATAAAATAAATCGATTGAGGGGCTTCTCGCTGTGCCAGAAAGAAAGGTGGAATGAGAGAAAACAGTCTTTGAGGTGTAGAGGACGAGCCATCAGTTGTTGGGACCCCCTGACCCCCTGACCATACCTGCAATGATCCCGTCCATTTGCTCCAGGGCAGCTTCTAGCACGTGACTGGCATCCGAAGCCATGGCTCCTCTCCCCTCAGTCTTCTTCTTGTCTTACTGAAAGTTCAAGCACAGGACAAAGGAAAAGTTGCAGAGAGGCCCACATTACGCAGGCAAGACCGCAAACCCTCCTCTTTCAACATCACGTGGGCTGCTCTAGCAAGAATCTGAGCCGGCCACCCCCCCGGTTCTGCCGTCTCTAGAGCCTCTCCCTCCTGGCGCGAGTGATCTGTCTCCCGCGGCTTTAGCACACTATCCCATTCACATCTGAGATTAAGAGCCGCCATTATAGTCCCAGGTTCCAGAAGCTGCAGCCAGCACGGGGGAATCTCCCCTACGAGTCGGAGAAAGGGACTCAGTGAGGACGTGCCCTGCAGCAAGCGGGAGTCTTAGGAGGCACATTTGTCTTAGAGCCGCATCTGTCCCGCACCTGCAAGGCCTTCGTCAGGTAGGTGTGATCCAGGCGGAGAGTCCTCGGCTGCCACTTTCCTGGATGGTCAAAAGTGCCTGGCCTAGAGGACACACTGTTGTGGGGAGAGCTCCGTCCCAGGAACCTGGAAAATTCCTCTCACCATCTTAGTTCTAGACTACCCAACACCAGGCAAAGTGCAGCATCCCACCTCCTCAGGACTGAAGAGCTTCTCCCAGGACACATAGGCCACCCTCCCCCCAGGCTGAGTCTCCCATCTAACGGAGATGGCAATTGGTTCTACCTCTGGACAACGCTGCCTCTACGAATGGTCTTTCAGCTAAACTGTCTTCCTGCAGCCTCTTCTCGTTTTATTGCTTCCCACCCACTCCCTGGTGGCAGGGAGCGACAACTGTATTTGTAATCCCTAGTTCACACCTATAAATGGCAGGCAGGAGCTGTTGTTTGCTCCTTCAGCAAAGCCTGTGCATGTGTCCAATGGGCATAAGTGCTGTGGAGAACCGGCCTGGCTCCTCTACCCAAGGATGGCCCAGGTCAGGAAACAGAGGGTCCTGGGGGTCTCGGCTCCTGTTCCCGGTTGATGTTGGACTTTCAAAGGGAAGAAAGGAAAGTGAGCAGCCACAGAGAAGTGGCTTTGGAGATGGTATGGATAAAGATTTTAGGACCACAAAGAACATTGGACTATACCAGGCCAGTAGCTGTTAAAATAGACTGGGTTCAAACCCTGCTCTACCATTTACTATGTGATCTCTGAGCCTCAGTATCCTCATCTGTAAAATGTGGATAATACCAGCACTTAACACACCAGGTTGATGTCATGATGAAATGAGGAATTAATATTTCATAGAAAGTACTCAGTACATTTCCTTACAGATAGTGAGTGCTCAACATATGTTAGCTGTTTCTGTTTTTGCTTTTGAAGTGAGGCAACGATCTCAGGATGTATTTGTGCCAGGACAGTGTGCTGGATGAGAGACTTTAAACTAAATGAGGTAGGCTCAGGAACAGAGAACCCAGGTAAGTCCAAGAGGCTGGTTCCCCTGGAGGAGGTAGGCATGGCAAAGAGAGATAAACAACTATTTGTGTGGAGAGGGAGGGCAGTGATTCATAGGAGCAAAGGCCAAGGAAGGTCTGGGAACAGGCACTGAGCCCCAGCAGTCCAAGGGCCATTGCACAATCAACGCAGGGGCATGAGGACGGGAGCCTGCAGAGGGGGTGGGAGCCTCATCAGCACCTCAAGGCTGTGGCAGGAGCTACTACAGGAGGCTGCAGCAAGGGACAGAGCTGCCACTGCTGAGAAGAGCAGCCCAGGCCACTAGAGACCCCAAACATGTGCAGATCTCATGGGCTGAATAGAAGCAAGCTTGGGGGTTTGGGGGATGAGAGTAGAGGTAGCAGGAAAAGCGCACACAATCACACACAATTATTGCAGGTCAATAATCCACACATTCACACCTGTTCAGAGATATTAAAGGTCTGAAATAGTTCCCTCTGAGGACTTCCCACTACTCCTAAGGAAAAGTCCACACTGCTCACTCACTGGGACCTTCAAAAGAGGCGGTGTAGGATCCGGCCAGGCCAACCCCATATTGCTCTCTCCATTGGTCATGTTCCAGCAGCATTGGCCTCCTGTCTGTGCGCCAACCCCCCCCCC